TTGAGTAAAATTTTCCATTGACAGAGATGCTAACCTCCAAAATTATGCTTCTGTATGCTGTCTGAGAAAGCACTCAGTATTCCTGCGTATGGTCAAATACATGAAAGTCAGCACTATGAAAACAAATTGGACATATGTGACTATTTTGAAAATACTTTGCAAATTACTCTTGTAGTCAAGATCTGTAGAAATACCAAAAAAATTGATGTGAATACATTTTTATAGAATTTCCAGTGATCACACTTGATGAAGATAATCCAAAGCACATTTATTTTATGCTTCAGTATCACATGTAACTAGCTAAACTATTTGTAGGCTTACTAATGAAAATATGGTTTTTAAAGATAATTCAATGATTCTGAAGAATTTCCCCCACATTTTTGATCCACCAACATCTGCATAGATGACACCTATTTTTTCCACTCTTTTCCAGTTGGATGTGTATCAATTATTTCTTGTAGAAGGATCTTCACAAACACATTAGCAGTGTCCTTCACAACAGCTCATGACATGCAACTATGTATGTATGTTTATGATAAGATAATCACAAAAGCAAAAGAAAATTTAAAATATGTATAAATGCATTAGTGCCTATTTTTAGTTCACAATGTAAGTGTTCATCTTTGGAAGGCATAAGTGGGTATAATAGGTGTGAGTTCATTATTGTTTCCTTAACATACCCAATTTATGTTTTTTCTCTTTCTTGATCATCTCTATTTTGAAAGAAGTATGCTCCTACTGCCTATTACACATCATGTACTTTTCTACAAATGTAAGCACCATCCTTCTAAGACTAAGGCAGTCATTTATAAATAGTAATATCCTGAGTATGCAAGTGAATCATGATTTCACATAAGTTCCTAGGGTTCAAAGAAAATGCATGGAATATGATTGCCAGAATAGCACTAGCGAGTGATGGAAGTGATGTTTAAATCACCACACCAGAAAGAAAGAATCACCAGTTGCAATAAATAAGGTAACAACTACAAGTGCATGAATTCAATGCATGAGAGTTGTACCATTAGTTTTGTTTTGTCTGAAACAATCTTGCTATGAAGTTCAGGCTGATTTTGGGCTCACTTTGTCAGCCAGGCTGGTCATGAGCTCACTTTGTAGTTCAGGCTAACCTTGGGCTCCATTTGTAGTCCAGGCTGATCTTGAACTTCCAGCAATCCTCTTGTGTTAGCCTTACAAGTCCTGAGATTACAAGCATACACCTTCATGCCCAGGTTGTAGCATTATATTTCTAGCAATAAATTTCATGCAGGATAATAATACACCACTTTTGCTGCTCTCTGTACAGTCTTTGGGGACATGGCACTGCTAAACTCTCGTAGTACCCATTTAGGCACATGATCCACAGTGGCATTTCAGCAGCATCTTATGATATTAAAATAAAACTCAGAAATAAATGTTGGGAAAGTCTAAGTCATGTTTTGTTCTCAGTAGCATAAATAAATCTGATGTCACATGGAGTCATCATTTATCTCATGTTGCATAATTTGAGAGCCATCACGTGATGTCACAAACTGACAAGAAGGTTAAGTGCAAGGCAGTATGAGATATGAAGAGAAAGAGAACACATTCACAAGATTCTGATTATACTGTGGTTATTATGCTAATAGTATGATTTAGTTATTTACTTGTGTACATTTTTCAATATATTCTAAAATTTTAATTATATATAAAATGTTATTTGTGTAAGTTTCCATGTGTGAAAAATATTACTCACCAATATTTTAATATATATTGAGGCATTTGGGATTTCTGCACACTTGATCTTGATATAGAATATTGCTGATGAATTACTACAATGTAGTTCATATTTATATTTTTTAATTTTATTGTTTTATTAGTTTTTTAATAAAATGTTGCAGACATAGGAAAGTTGGTGATTTCATTTGATTTAAGCCATCTGGGAACCTGAGGCAAGAGGTTTTCAACTTTGCAATTTAAACCCAGGCTTGGTAACTTGGAAACATAGTGAAAACATGTCTGCAAATGAAAAATATTGCTGAAGAGATAGGTCTGCATAAATGTCCTGGATTCCAACATCTGTCCTGAAAAGTTAAAATAGGCCTTGTTTTATCATAAGGCAGTAAAACGATTGGCCTCATCTCACACTCTAGTATATCCGGCCTGTTCTCAACCCCCCCCCACCCAGTTTAGGAGTCATTTCCAGACTACATAATCTGAATTCACTGGAGTACAGTTTCCATCTTACTTACTGCATGTAGGAGTAAACTTGCAAAAAATACAGTTAGTCTATACCTGCTCTGCATATACAAGAGAAACCTCATTTTGAGTGTACTAATGCCCTTGTCGAGCACTGCAGTAGCCCAGATGTAATCCAGGAAAGGCACCTGTCAACTTGCTCATCAGTACAGGTTTTGGATCACTTTCTCTCTCCTTTCAGTCTCAAATATTTGGTCTTTCATCACCAGCTATTGGGTGATGAAGGAAGGCTGTGTGCATTTTCAACTGAAAAGAGGACCAGGGAGATGAGGGCGATTCATTATATGGAGTCTTCCTTTATATTTTTGCTACCATGTTTTGGACCCGTGGTCACCGGTTGACAAAAACCCTAGTATTGGAACCTGGTTGCTGGAGGATTTCCTCAGAGAGCAGGAATCAAATACACAAGGAAACAACATAGAGGATAGAAATGCAAGTGTGGGATAAGGTGTTCTGAGATGGAGACAGATTGACTAGATTATATCTGATGAAGTTGGTGTCTCCTTATAAATGTGTGAAGTCTGTCACCTGACCTGTGAACTGGCTTCCACCTGATTCCTTCAGATGTGTGCCATGGTGCTTGCCTGGCAGTTGTAACCTCAGAACCCTGTCCTGTTCCAGTTGCAATATCATTTTCATGGAAAATGGCACCCATTTAGAAAATTCTCCTGGAGGTCCATGTCTTGACAAACTTTATATTGACTTCATTGTTGCATGTGTAGTCTACAGGCCCATCTGCTATTTCTATATGGAAAAGTATTTTACTAAAAAGTAAAAAAGAAAAGACAAGATTTTTTGGCTGTTCAATAAGTGGAATGCATGGAAAAGCAGAGAAATGGTTTTCTACCTTCCCTAGGCACAGGTGGGTGTGAACATCCTACTACTGCACTATAGTAAATAAGGGAAGGTAACAGTCATAAAATTAAGGGCTTAAAGACAGCAAGATTGAAATGGAAAACAAAAACACTTAGTTTGGAAGAAGGAAGAGAAATGACAGTCAGACAGCTACTGTGAGAATGTAGTGGCCACATAATTGACGGCCTTTGTTTCTGGCAGCATTGATTAAAGAGATAAAAAAAAACCTTTCCCTGGAACTTGTGCCATGATCTATGATCCCAACTCAGGTACCATTTCCTGCCTGCAAAGGCCTACTTCAGCTTCATTAGGTTTTCCTTTATACTTTCTATATTTTAGATCATAAATATATAGATTGGCTAAAAGCAATCTTGCATATGAAGTCATCAACAATAAGGCAACAGGTTAATGCAAAAATATAATGATTCTAGAGTAAAATATATACATACTTGCAAAAAATGTTTTCACTTACAGTCTGTTGTAGTTAGGGGTTGTACACTGGAAGAATAAGAATCAAGACATGTTGTTTATAATATTATTTTTGTAGTGGTCACCAGGAATTAACACAGGAAAATGCAGGAAATCTATCCGCAACACCAGAAACATAGAATATTTAGTCAAGGGCTTAAATCCAAAGCAATGTCCTACATGAGTCCACATAAAAACCCAGAACTCAGGACAGTGCCTCCCAGGAGTCCAACTGGAGATCCAGAGCCAACAAGAAAGACTCACATTAGTCTCTTTTATGGATCCATGCAGGAAAGACCCAAGAGTCAGCGGTGAAAGCCAGAAAGTCCATGCCAGCAGAATGAACAAGCTGTGCTAGTGGGATAAGAGCTCTATTCTGGATCCAAGAAGTCAAACTCACAACAAAGACCAGGGCAGTCCTGAAAGGCACCACAGCCATCCTCAGCAACACGGAGGCCCTGAACTCCTCCAACAACAAGCACAGTCTGGTACATGCCAGAAGGCAGCATGATGATTTCATCCTGGAGAACAAATGGCACATGTATTCCCCTCTAGAGCCAGGAAGCAATGCTTGATGTGCTGACGAAATCTTGTCCAGCAGAACCAATAGCTCAAACAGCAACTCATAGAGGAACACAATATACCTCAATGCAATTATGCCCTAATGCCTTAGCACCTCCCTGTTTATTCACCTATTTATCCCGGCAAGTTTCCTCAGGTGGAGCATCTTCACTAAATGCAATGCTGATGTAATCCAGCTGGAGTTAAACTGACCACCAGTTCTTAATCCATAACACAGTCTAAAGTGTTTTTTTTTTATCTCACACTCAATACCAGGAAGTGATTTAGTGAGTCAAGTGCAGTACTCTCTTTCAGCATTAATAGTGAACCTTATGCTTGGCTAGGATTCTCTTCAAAACTTAGGTATGAGTTATGACACTGCATACAGTGTAAACCTTTTCTGAAGTAGTTGGACTGTTTGATTTTCCTTTATCTTTACTTTTTCTCAGAAATCTGTTACAGTTTATGTGTAGTTTCTTCATTACTGCTGTAATGGAGTTCTCTTGGTAGATGTCTAAGAATTAGTTTAAAGCAAATGAGCAGACTGAGAGAGAACCTATGAAAATCTGGGCAATAAAACTTATGGACACATTCCTGAGAGCAGCCTCTACCTATTCCAATTTGTCCCAGTCTGAGATCATCAAATAAATTTTTCTGTCCTCAAGGGATTGTTTCTTCCACAGGACATTCATCTGGTCACATTTGGGACAGAGCTTCAGGAGAAGGCACTGTACCTTCAAGGAAACTCAGGACAGTACTTAAAAGGCAAGATAAAGTAAAGTACTGGCAGGTGAGTGTGACAGCACAGAAAAGAGGTGGGCCCAGGAGCCAATCATTGATCAAGGTGGGCCAAGGGAGGAGGGTCAATGAAGTGAGCCAAGGGAGGAGGGCTCTTCCCATCCCTCTTGGAGAAGTGCTCACTGTGAGTTCAGTGCTGAGTGCCTGGAGCTGAGCTCTCATCAAGTTTCCTTGACTTCTTCTTAATGAAGACTGGAAGGGTTCCTTGAAAATCCTCAAGCATAGCAATGGTAACTTGATGGTATTGGAGCTGGGAGTGGGATGGAAATTTTGGCAGATCTGGGTGGTATTGGGCAGAACCCCTGTACACCCAGAGTGTCTTTTGCACAGCCTCAGGCACAGCTGTGTTTAAGGAGTGCAGTGCTTTGGAGGTAAACCTGAATTCTGGCCTCAAAATTAGAAAACACTATCATTTGAATTCCTTATATGAGACTTCTACTCGCAGTGATGTTATGGCATGAATCGAACTCATAATCTCATGACACTGTGTGTTATGAGTTCTGAAACCAAAAAAAAAAAAGAAAAAAATAAGAAAGCTCCTTGACTTCAGGATGTTTCATACATGGATAAATAGCCGTGAGGGTACACCTGGCTCTATGGATTTAAAATAGATCTCCTACTTTGTTTCCTTTTCTTTTTTCTTTTATGTTTTATTATTTATTGTTTGGATACAGAGTGTATCTCTGTAGTCTGGCCAGCCCATGATCTCCATGCCATCCTCCTCCATCTGTCTCCAGCGTGAGGAGATTACATTCCTGAGTCACTGCACCCAGAAAAAGAAATACTTTAAGCTGAGTTCTCCAATGCTTTTCTTCAGCTTGTGAGGTCTATAGGAAACAGGTTTTAGAGACAAACTGGATGTTTGTGTTTACATTTATGTTACCTCAGGAGTTTAGTAATTAGTGCCTGCAAGTCACTCTGGTAGACTAGAATCTGCAATTTATTGTGAAGTTCAAAGTCCTAGGTCATGGTCTATTCTGATTTTAATTCTTATCCCAGCCACTACTTTTGCAACTTTATCTCAGGCCATTTCCTTAGCGAGTGCTTTATTTATAAGCTAAGTAGATAAATAATTTTTTACAATTGAACTACAGAAGCAAGGGTTTTCTTAAAGTTTAGAATGTTGTGAGGTATTTGGGGGATGGTGATGCATTAGTTCCTGAGTGGAAATTTCTTGCTGAGAACAACTTCTTGTAGGTGCTGCCTGCTAATCCCACACTGAGAAAAACAGCAAACTGGTGTCTACAGGTATGTAGAGATCTGATAAATATGAGATTGGAAATGGAAGTAAGTTTCAAAACTTCAAAAATTTGTTACATTTGGGTTGTGTTTTAATTTGACCTGAAATATGAAGCAGCGAGTGGGGTGTGGTGGCACATGGCTTTAATCCTAGCACTCAGAAGGCTGATACAGGAGGATCCTTGAAAGTTTAAGACAAGCCTGGGGCATGAAGTGAGTTCCAGAACATGGCATCCTGAATTACATCATGAGTCCTTGTCTCAAAAAGAAATTTGAACAATGAGATGGACTGTTTTACTGAAGTAGAGGTATCTTCACATGGTCAGGATATGCATGATTATTAAAGAATTAAGGACAAAAGTTTTAATAACATGTGCCAACATGATGGAAAGGAAATGAGAGAGCAGGGGCATGAGGAGGGAGGCCCAATCAGCAGCCAGCATAGTAAAGGACTTCTGAGGTGAGCTTGACCTACTGTGACAGCACTGGAGGATTGTCTGCGTGGTAGGTCTGAGAGTAGGAAAAAGCTCACAGGCCTATAGAAAGGAGGGAAACTTAGTCATGGATAAAAACTTTTTCTATGTGTACTGATCAGCTCTCCTAATCATGTATGAGGTAAGATAGGTACTTAGAACCCTGGTATTGAAGGTTTTGAAATATGTTGGGCATCACAACTAAAATAACATGGGAAGGAGTTTCTTTTGGACACCGAAGATTTTAAGATAACATTTGTTGTTTCTTATTGTCCAGTGACTGACCTTAGAAACCTGGCCCTTATTAACATCCTGCAAAGTTTGAAAAAAGATTTAATTAATATATATATATATATTTTTGGCATTTAGAGATGACGTCTTACTACTTTGCACATGGTCACAAGAAGAGGTGTGTCTTTGCCAGCACTTTGACTGCTGAGTTTGATATATGGGAATGAAATTGTCTACCCTTATATGTCCAGCAGAAATTCATGTTCTTTTAAATTTAAGAATGAGTTTTAGGTACAACCAAGGTTAAGAGAAGAAGTATTTATTGAGTGAAAGAATGCTTCTGTGAGAGAGACAGAAGGGGTCCGATGTGAGTTGCCAAAGACTGCATTTTATAGGAATTTTTTTAATGTAAAACAATGAGATGAGGCAAGTCTAAAGGCTGATAAATAACTCACAAGACAGGCAGGCATGAGGTGGAAAAGAGCTATGGTCAAACAATCAGTTTCCCTCCTCATGTAAAATTGACTATATCAGAGATAAATGGGGAATTGAATCACATAGCAAGCTAGCATTCTTTATGGATCAGTCACTTTTTCTGTAGGTGGAAAGAATGGCAACTCCAATCTTCTCAAGGTGATCCATCCCTAATCCCTAAGAATTATACTTAAGGGTGTGATTGTATTTCTTTGTCATCTATCTTGAGATCTGGTCCACAGCATGTGGTGTGTGTGTCTCTTCCAAAGTCACCAGATATCTCCTCATCTGTGGGGGGCCCTTCCAGAGCCTAGCCATTTCTGATGGATGTAATATTTCTAACTAGCTCAACTGCCCGTGAGGGGATGACACTAATATTCTGCTTTGATGGTGATGGTTATGCCTCTGCTTTGCTGGAGGGAATTGGGTCTCCTTCTTTAGTTCACACGGTCCTTAATGCTCAGAGCCTCATACATCATCCATTGTAATGCTACGGACTCAGGCATGCACTGCCATGCCTGGATCAGTGTTTTTTTTTTTTTTTTTTTTTTCCATGTCACCCAATTTCACCAAGAATTCACTGTTGGGGTAAAATAAACAACACTGAGTCATGGTGATGCACAAATTTAATTCCAGCCTCCTCAGAAAGTTAGGAGTGCTTAAAAATCAAGGCCACCCCGGATTACTGAACTTTTTCAATATGAGATGCATATTGAAAGTTTATGCCCATCTCAAATTATCTTTTCTAAAGTCCATGGGGCCCTTGGCTAATGCGGAGAAAATGTTTCAGTGTAAACTTATATTGAATATTTAAGTTGACACATAGTTTGTACTAGCAATACATGGCTCAATGTGAAGTTTATATGCTCATGTTGGAGGATACAGAGATGAGTCTCTAGTCTCTGAAAAAGGACACCATGGGTGAACAAACAGTGATGCACAGTGTGCTGCATTCAGTGAGCTACATGTCATTTAGTGTTGTATTATGAATTTCTCTTTCTGTTATATCTGAAATACATATCAAAGCATTTGTATTCAGTAGGTTGAAAAACATCTAATGCTTAATGATAGTGTCTGCAATAATTGGTTTGTTTTTTGTGCATATTCAATTCATTTTGTTGTCTCCTAGTTTTAGTTTGATCAAGTCATTTTCCTTATGAAATTCAAATATCTCTTTTGCGTTATTTCTTCCAGCCTTCAATTTTGTACCCTGTAGAACAGGAGCCACGCTTACCCAGTTGTTTCCAGTTTAGATAGCTGTATTCACCTGTTTCTCTTGAGCAGCTCTATCAGGAGAGCAGTGAAATCCTGTTTGGAAATGTGAACACTACTCTGGGTATTTTGTGTTCTATGTTTCCCTGGATTTTTTTTATTATTGTTGTACTGATGTGGCCCCATATGGTCATACTGTTTGACCTATATACCCCAGACAAGAGGATAAAATGGAAATTTTAAATTAGTGGAAACTGAGCTGAGAGGCTGACGTTAAGTTTATAGTTAGACTCTACAAGTGTTTCTGTAATATATCTTTTAATGTCATCTCTGTAACACAGCTTAAGGTTTATAATTTCAATTGAGTGGTGTGATTTATCATCAGAAGGATTTGTATTTTCAGGAGTTTCATCTCTTTAAAGGGAGAGGAGTTTCTAAGGTATCTAGGACTTTATTAGACTATGGACTACATGCATATTTGTGTGAGCATACAGAAATTGTTCAATAAGGTGACTAGAGCATGAAAATCACTAGATTCAATTCCTAGGGCCTTCACTCAAGTAGAATGGGGGAGGTGAAACTGCCCAGGAAAAATAGGCAAAGCACATTGTGTATTTTGTGATTAATTATTTCACTTAAAATAAGATTTGTGCATTTTTTGATTTTTCATGATATGAATTACTGCTTTAAATCCAGGAGGGTGACATAGTACTCTTAAGTAGGACAGGCTGCAGAAAATTGGAATGATTGTGTCTAATATACAGATAATTTTGTGAATCTTTTCTTTCTGGAGAAGGGATTCCAGTGGTTATAGGGCTTTACTGATAAAATGTTTCTTTATCTCCTGCAAAGATTTAAGAGGATCAGAAAATAATTACTATGTATGAAGAATATCTGTGAAGGGAATTCTTAGCAAAATAAAGATTATTTTTTGTAGTGATTATTGTGGTGTGTCTCATGATAGTATGAATGTCCCAGTCCATTTTTAATGCTCTGCACTTCTTTGTGAATTACTGATTTATAGCACATGGCAAATGACTCCCTTTTCTGTGCTTGACAAAAACAAATATGACCTGGTTTGAATAATAAGGGAAAACAAGTGTCTTACTTTTTTGTGCATGGGCATAGGTATTTCATTGCCTTATGATATTGGCTTCAGGTTGCTCATTCTCTCAGAATCAAATCTTCAACCTTCCAGTGGAGATTCTTCAGGAGTGAGAGAGAGACTGAGAGGCAGGGTTCATGCACCAGATGTAATCTTGTGGGTCATGTTTCCTTGCAACATGAAGCCACACGCATACATGTCTTTCCTAATCACCTCAATGCCTTCAAACATGCAGAATGTGACAGTAGAATTCTAGGCATCAGGCATGCGAAGTTGAGTATTTACTTTGAAAAAATTAGTAAGTCACAAGAGATTAGCATTCATCCCTTGAGATGGAAAGGTCTATTACAGAAAATTTGCATGCTGAATCCTTATCTTCTCACAGGGCCAGAATTGAGGGTGGGACACTGCATGCAGCCTTCTTTCTGCTCTCCAGCTAGGTTTAGTTTTCATAAGTCTTGAATCCATTGTAGTGACACTGTTGGATATTTTAACC